CAGGCTGGCCTCGAACTCATGGCAACCCTCTTGTCTGCCTCAGCCTCCCAAATGCTGGGATTACAGGCGTGGACCACCACACCCAGCTAATCTTAACTTTTTCTTTCTGGACTTCTTGAGATAGGGTCTCCCTATGCAGCTCTGGCTGGATTTGAGTTTACTTTGCAACCTAGGCTGGTAGCAAACTTGCAACGATCCTCCTGCCTCAGCCTCCCTCCTGCTCCAGCCTTCTGAGTGCTGGGGTTACAGGCATGTGCCACCATGCTCTGCTCTTAACTTTTAATATAGGGAATGTTACAGGTATGATCCACATAATCCAAGGCTATTTGGGCTCTTCATTTTTTAAATTTTTTTTTTTTTTTTTTTTTGGTACCAGGAATCGAACTCACGACTGTCTGCTTGCAAGGCAGGCACTTATGCCACTGAGCTAAATCCCCAGCCCCTATTTGGGATCTTCAATAATCTTGAGAATGGAATAGTGTATGTGGGGTTTGTTCTTTTGTGATTTTCTCCTTCTAGTCAACGTTATGTTTCAAAGTTCCTCCACCCTGTGGCACGTATCACTTTTCTACTTCTTTTTTGAGACCTTACCATGTAGTCTAGGCTGGCCTCAAGCTTGTGGTGATCCTCCTGCCTCAGCCTCCTGAGTGCTAGATAACAGATGTGTGCCATCACACTCAGTCTGCACTTCCTTTCACGGAAGAATAGCATTCCATCATATGAGTATGCCAAATGCTGCTTATCCATTTGTTCTTCTGCATTCTTTCCATGTTCTGGCTGTCAAATGCTATAAATGCTCACTTGTAAGTTTCTGTGTGAACATGTTTCCCTTTCTCTTGGGTGTATATTTAGAGGAGGGCCTTGCCGGCTCAGAGTGTAGCTGTCAATCACCCGAGGAACCACCAGACCGCTCCCCACGAGAGCTGTGCCTTTCACAGACTCAGCAGTGCAGAGGGTTTCCATCTTCCCACACTTATTTTCCTATTACTTTGTGTGGTGGTTGTTCTGGGTGGCAGCGGGGACCAAGCCCAGGGTGCCTCACACTGAGCTATGGCCAAGTACCCGGGAGGGGCTCCACCTTGCAATCTTCTTGTTTGTACCTCACACGGCTGGGGTACAGGTGTGTGCCACAGTGCCCAGCCGGTTTCACTTGACTGACCCATCCTAGTGGATGTGAGGCAGCTTTTCACATCGTTTTACTGTCTGAAGTATTCTGGAGACAGGGTCTCACTGTGTGGTTTTGGCTGGCCTCGAATTCGCCATTAGTGCAGCCACCCTCCTGCCTTAGGTACCCACCACCACGCCTGGCTTTCCCATGGTTTCAACTAGCATTTTTTTAGTGACTGATACCAAGTACCTCTTCCTGAGCTTTTAGCAATTTGCTCATCTTCCTTAGACTAATGCCTAGTTCTCTCGATATAGACATCTTACTGTGTTTTAACTGGAATGTCTTATTACAGTACTGACTTTAATGGTTCTTTATAAATTTCAGAACTAAATCCTGATCAGACATAAGACCTGCAGATATTTTCTTACAATCCATGGTTGTTTCTGCATTTTATTGGTGGCAAACACTAACATGCTTAAGTTACAAATTGTAGTCATGTCCTGTGTTATCTTGTTGCCTATGGTTTTGGTGTTACAGCTGAGAATTCTTTGCCATGCTATTTGATTACTGCTGCTCTGTGATATGTTCAGCAGTCAGGAAGTGAGTCCTGCTCTGCTCCTTTCTAAAGTCTGCCTGGCTGTTCTGTGTCCTGACATTCCGTATGAATTTCCGACCTGGCTCGACAAGGTCTACAAATACACCAGCTGGGATCCGACAGGGCTTGCTTAACCTGTGCACCAGCTTGGGGAGGGCTCTACCCTGATCCGTGAACATGTGCTATTCTCATTTATTCAGACCTTCAAACGTTTTACGGTTCTCACAGCGTTAGTTTCGAATTTCTTTGTGAAAAGGATCTTCTCCCTCCTCCTTCAGGTGTCAGTGGTTTGGACTCAGGGGCTTGTGCATTCAGTCTAGCACTATTCCTATTTGCCGGCCTGCCTTCCTTCCTACCTTCCCAGATGGTGGTCTGACTATGGCCCCGGCTGGACTCAAGCCCACAATCCTCCCTTCCTGCCTTCTTTGGGATTACTGCTGCCCTGCACCATGCCCAGTCCTGTATCTTTCCAGTGCTGTTGTAAGTGGAAGGATTGATTTTTTCCCCTCCTTTTTGAGACAGGGTCTCACTATGCAGTTCAGGCTGGCCCTGAACTTACTTTGTAGCCCAGGGTGGTCTTGAACTTACAATGATCTTTCTGCCTCAGCCTTCCGAGTGCTGGATTACAGGATTGCCTACTATGCCTGGCTAGGTGGAATGGCTTCTGAAATTTCATTTAAGGTGGCTCATCTGAGATGTCTAGAAGTACTACCGATTTCTGTATATAAATGCTCTGCCTAATCATATTTTCCTGGGCATTTCCTGTAGCCGCACTCACGTCATCTGCAGATGGCCTGTCTCTTCCTTTCTCACCCGGATGCCTTTCATCCCTCCATCTGCCCAGCTCCCCTGGATGCCACCTCCAGGATCACGTTGGCTAGAACCAAAGTGGGCAAACAGCCTGTCTCGCTCCTGGTTTTAATCGAGAACATTTCCTCTGTCCCCACCAACTATGATGTCTGTCAGTGTTTCATTATGGTTTTGTTTCTTCCTAATGGTTTGCTAACGTGGTTCTGGTCTTTATTGATACACTGACCTTCATGGGTTAAGTCAGCTTTGCACGCCTAGAAAATTACTTGCTCATGCTATAGAATTCCTCCCACATGCTGCTGCGTTCAGTTCAGTTGTACGCTGCTGAGGATCTTTGCGTGATACCATGGAAGACATTGGTTAGTAAGTAGTTCTGCATCTATGGGTTGTGTAAAATGTGTTCTCAGGTCTCGCCTCTTCCTCTGGGCGTGTTTTCAACACTCATCGATTGCTGTAGTCTCAACCAGCGTTTTACTCTTTTTTTACAGCTGGAAAGCCGCAGTCGATGGTATTTTATTTGCCCTCTCACAAGCTGATGGCTATCTGGGCTGTTCTCATGTCTTGGCTGTGAACACTGCCATGAACATTCTCGCACGGTGCTTGTGCAAACACGCTTTTAATTTTTGGGAGTAGGCATCCGAGAGTGGGACTGCTGAGTCACATCTGAGGCTGCCAAACTGTTTTCTGTTCCCGCCGGAGGATGAGGGGTCCGACTTCTCTGCATTCTCATCGGCACTTACTTCTGTCTTCCAGCCAGAGTGGTGTCCAGGGGTGTGAGACAGGGCCCGCAGGGGACCTCATTTTATGCGCTCACAGGCCAATGTCCATCCTCCTTTTTCTACTGTCATTTTAAAATCAGATTATTTGCTCTTTAAATCACTGTAAAATCTAAGACATGAAGTTTTATGTTTTTAGGTCTGTGGTTCATTTTAATTTTGGTATATGGTGTACAGATCACGAGAGATTTTTAAAATCCTATTAATTCTTTAAAGCTCGTTAGTAACAAGTTATCCCAATTAAGGACAAGAAATGAAAAGGATGTAGAAACCCCTAAGGCTCTGCAATGAGTCAGGAACCAGTAGGAAACTACTTTTAAATGCCTGTCTTTAAAGGTACCTCGTCTAGACACTTCAACATACAGTGAGGGATGGGGAGAAATCAAAGGACAGGAACTGAAGGAGCTAAGAGTCACTACCTTTTTTCAAGTGTATCCCATTTATTAAAATTCAGAATATCTGCAGTCTTGGGATGTAGTCTGGTGGTACAGTGCTTGCCTAGCAAGTCCAAGGCCTTGTATCTGACTCCTAGCATAGCAAAATAAAGAAGTAAATAAATACATTCAGAACATACTGTGGTCCTTTCTTTTTCCTGTTTTTTTGTCCTTTTGACACAGGTCTTGCTATGCAGTTCAGGCTGCCCTTGAGATTACTTTATAGCCCTGGCTGGTCTTGAACTCACAATTCTCCTCAGTTGCCTGAGTCCTAGGATTATAGCATGTGCCACCACGCCTGGCACACTTTGGCTACCATATTATTTCCCAATATATTTCAAGTGAATCATGCTTTCTTTTCTTTTTTCTTTGGCGGGGGAGGCACTGGGACTTGAATTCAGGACATCGTGCTTGCTAGGCAGGCACTGCGCTCTCCTTTTTAAGGAGTCTAGGCTGATTTGGGAAGGGACTGAGAATCAGACTCAGGCCCTTGCACTTGCCAGGCAGGTGCTGGGTCCAGGCTGGATTTAACTTCCGATTTCAAGAGCTCTGCCACTTCTGCTTCCCCAGAACTGGGCTCCAAGTGAGCACCACAGTACCTGGCTCGGAATAAGGCAAAGCAGGACAAGGAAGCTCTTTAACCAACTCCGTTTGATAAAAGAACACCAAAACCCGTTTTCGCTTCATCTGTAAATTGGTAAGAATTATTTATAATCTTGAAGTTCCCTGAAGAGCATGAGTGACAAGGAATACATTTTTTATTGCAATCAGTGTCAAAAAAATTCAAAATATAATGCTAATGGGTCTAATTTTAATTTTTTCTTTTAGTATTTTAGTATTTTGAGAGTCCTGCTTTGTAGTTCAGACTGGCCTGGAATCCATGCCAATCCTCCTCCCTCAGCATCCCGAGTGCTGGGATTACAGATACATTGACAGTGTGCCTACCTAAAGGACATACATTGTCTTAGCCTAGAAGGATCTTTTTTTTTGGTACCAGGAATCGAACTCCCAACCTTGCACTTGCCAGGCAGGCCCTGTGCCACTGAGCTGTCTCCCAGCTCCTAGCTCACAGACACCTCAACACCCATCCCTGTCTTTCTGTCTCTCAAGTGCTCATATGATAATTATCCTTAAAAGGGTCTATCAATAGAAATTTTGCAGAAAGCTCAAATGTTACACAAATCTACAAGATACAAACAAACAACCCTTTTGAATTCAGCATGGAGGTCGTGGCTTCAGAAAACTTCCAATGGCATACAACATAAGGAGATACTCACAGGAGAGAGCTTCTGAATAAGGTCGTGAGCAACATGGACAAGGTTCTTGTCTTCATGAAGACATTTCTGAAACTTCTTGCTTTCTTCCTCTTCCAGAAGATCAAAATCAATGGCAGCATCCAGCAAGGCCTGAATTAAGCCCTTCCAGGACTTCAGGGCTGGAACCTGAGGGGCCACTGCGGCACTGATGCCCGTTCCAATGACCAGCACCAGCTCCCGAGGCTTCTTGGTTTTTAAGCTTGGAAGCAGCTTCCTGAAAAAGCAACACATGAGGACTGAGATACCCAAAGGTCAGGAGGCACCTGGAAAGACTGTCTGACCAAAAGTGGTCAGATATGCAGGTCCTTCAGCAACAACTTTAACACACGTAAAGACAACAAATACCAGTTTGTGACACTTCTCCAAGGTAGCCTAAACAAAAGACTAGAATACTGTGCTATAGCTTGCTAAAAACAAAGAAACCTATTATTTCACATTTCCCAAAAAGCAATCTGAAAATCAGTTTTCACTTCATAGTCCTCCCAACCAAAGAAACCCACGAATAGCAGCAAAAGGTCCAAATGTGTCACCACAGCTCAGCTGAGTTCTGCCACCTCAATTATACTTTAAATCAATATTAAATGTCAGAAGAATGTGCTTGACTTGTTATTCTAGAAACAGAAAAGATCCACATGAGAAGAAAGTCAATAAAAAATTAACTCTAAATTTTACAAACACTTTAAAGATAAAACAGCATGTGACAGCCAAATATGAGGACAAATCTGTCCTCACTTCAGGAAATCTGTCCTTACAAAGAAAGTGAGGGAGTGGTTGGGAGGAAGAGAAACAGGAAAGGAGGAAGACAGGGACAGTGAGAAGGAGAGGAGGAGGGAGGGGGAGACATCAGGGTCCTGAAACCTAAATGAAGGGCGACAGTGACAAAACATTCCTTTCTTACCACGACCAGCACACGTCTCTGTTCTGAAGCACATGTGCAACAGCACAAGCAAAGGTTTTTGTTTCTAGAATGTGTGAGTGGGGAACATAAAGAAAAACCCACACCACGGTTTCTCACGCCCCTTTTGCCTCCAGAGGCTCTACTACAATCCTTGTGTGAAGGAGACTCCTTCTCTTTCATTTTGCTGACAGCATGCTTTTTCCAAGAGCCTGCCTTTGCCGACCTTTTTTTTTCAAATAAAAAATGAACAGAAATAGGTTCAACGTTTTGGCATAACCCAAACCGAACTCTGAAGCCTCATGAAACCTGGCTTTAGGGAAGCAACCTCTCGATATCCTTCACTGTCCCCCAGCTCCTGCATTTACATCCAACAAGCATGAAAACCAGCTGGAAGGCATGACCACGGACACAGTTTCTGGCCTTACAGTTCAGTCCACTGGAAAAGACGGATGATAGAAGCAAATGATGAAATGTTAGGTTTCAATCAGAGGAACCAACACAGTGAATTATACACAAATAAACACACACAAATGCCCGCAAGTAGGGAAAATTTGTGGAAGGAGATGTAAGAACTGTCAACAGTGGTTAACTGTTGGTACCTGAATTCTTGTTTTTTTTATGGTACTGGGGCACCTAACTCAGAGCTTCACCCATGCTAGACAACTGCTCTACCATGGACCTGCATTCCCAACCCTGAGATTTTTTTTAACCATACCCAGAAGCTGAAACTATTTTTCTTAATTAAGACTTCCAGCTAAAAGGCAGTGTTTAACAGTGTGGTGGGGAGCACCTGTAATTTCAGCTACTTGCGTCCAGCAGGGGAGGGGGAAATAAAGTCTCTTAACCAAATCTAAGACTTCCCCAACCACCTGCACTCAGGGTTAAGTCTCCCAGACATGACTAGCCAGCCTAGCTCCTACCCAATCAGTCAAAAGGTAGAAGGATTCCTCTCTGGGGAAAACAGCTGATATGACAGAAAAGACAGCTTTTTTCCCCCATCCTTGGGACAGGGATTTGCTATGCATTTCCGGCTGGCCTTGAACTTGATCCTCCTGCCTCAGCTTTCCCAGCGCTGCGATTGCCTGGCAGGACAGCTCTCTTGTGAGCCAGAGGGAGGCTGAGCCAGTTATGTACACACAGACTGGCCACATGGCTTCTCAGTGTGCGCCCTTACACGTGACCAGAGGACAGGGTGACTGCACCTGGCGAGGCTCCCACCCTAACACACCACAGCAAGCAGCAGGGAAAGATGGATTCGGTGGAAACCAGACAATACAGGACAGAACCTAAGGAGAAAACATCAGGGCTGGGGTTTTAGCTCAGTGGCACAAGAGCCTGCCCGGCAAGTGTGAGGTCATGAGTTAGATCCCCGGTACCTGCCCCCCCAGAAAGGATAAATATCTTCACATAGATTTACAATTTGCAGTTATGGGAATACAAACAGCCTTTTAGAAATTTTAAAAACCTGCAAGATAAAACTGAGAAAATCTCCAAGAAAAAGAAAAACGGGGGGAAAAAAGCTGGGTGTGACAGGCCCGAGCCTGTAATCCTAGCAACTTAGGAGGCTGAAGCAGGGAGACGATGAGTTCCAGGCCCATGTGGACGACGTGTGAGTGAGTTCAAGGCCAGCCTGGACTATACAGCCAGACTGTGCCAAAAATCCAAGCCAGGTAGAGTAGGTGACATGCCTGTAATTCTAGTACTCAGGAGGCTGAGGCAAGAGCAAGTTCAAGTACAAGTGCAAGTTCGAAACCAGCAAAAATAAAAACAACAAAAACCCCAATCAAACAAACAAGAAGAAAATGAGATGAAAAAAACAATTTTAAAAAATGTAAGAAAACTAATGACTTAATCCACAAGGTCCAACTGTACTCAAAAATAACAGGAGCTCTACCAAGACAGACAAAAGATTTCATTCAAAGTCCACAGTGGAGATGTGTGCCTGTGATCCGAGGTCTCTGGGAAACTAAGGAGGAAGATCCCAAATTCATGCCCAGCACAGGTAACTTGGCAGCTGAGTGAGAGCCAGTCTCAAAATACCAAGGAATGTAGGACGAAGACTTTGGGTTCAACCTGCAATGCCACCCACACACGAAAAAGCAAGGGTACATATAGTCATTGAGAAGCGGAGCTACTGTTAACTAGCTTGAGCTACCTACTCTCCAGATTTCATATAAAGACACATCACTGTAAAATTCCCAGGAACAAGAGAATAAAATGATTTTTACCAGCTTCTAATGAGCAAAGAAAAATATTACATAATACAAGGAACTGGGAATCAAAATGGAGTGGCTTTTTGCCAGGAATACTCAGATGTTAGCAGAGAATGATCGGCACCTTTGAAACTGAGAAAAATGATTTCTAACCTAAAATTCTTTATCAGCCCCACTATCAAAAACAAAAGCCCACAGGCATATATAACGAAGACTATTACTATCTCTAAACATTTTTTCCTATGAATCTTTAAGGAGACACACAAGGGTAAGTATCACTAAAATGAAGGAGTACACAAAGGAGACATGAGATACAGCAATCAGAGAGCCATGTGAAAGGACTTCTCAGGACAAGGGGACAGCGAACCTACACCTCAGTGTCACAGGCACTGAGTGGGCACAGGGTGCAGTGAGTCCATAGGGAAGAGTCTGTGAAACCAATTAACCCAGCAAGTTAAAACAAAGCGAACAAAAGAATGAGAAACACAGAGGAAACATGGGCAAGAAAGGAAACAGAATCATAACACATTTCAGGCTTAGCAACAAATACTATTTAGACAGTCTCCTAATGCAAATATTAAAAGCTGGCTGCTGAAGGAAATCACTGACAACCGGGGAAACAGGTGGACCAGGAACTGGGGGAGGAGCTGTGGAACAAACCAAATCTTTACCTTCCACAGTCTGAACAAAGCACAAAACAAAACCCTCACAACAACAGCAGTTTACACAAGGTATTTAAGTATACAGATGCCTCAGAATAAAAGGATAAAAAGCTGAAATCAATCATCTCCAGGGAGAGAGCACTGTAGCCTTCAATTACTGACTTAAAACTGTACGCATATTACTTTTTAATTTTTAAATGAAGGTCAATATTGATTAGCAAAAACAATCAGAATATAGGGTACGTTCAGATTTTTCTTGACTTCCCAGTAATGCAAATCTACTGTTTCTCGGATTCCCTCCTCTCATTTACCTGGGCTTTTTGGTGGGAGGTGCGCCATCACTGAAGAATCCAAAAATCTCGTCTATATCAGAGGCCTGGCTCCCTGTAGAAGCCATCCAGTTTCTAAAATAGATTAAACACCACATACCACAATTAGATCTTCAAAGAGTACTATTTAAAACGGCACATACATTACACAGTGATAATACGCTATGCACCCTTTGAGGGTACCCTCTGCTTCACGGAAATCCACTTATGAATAAGCATTCCAAACTTGAGGAATTAAATTTGTCTGAAAGTCGCCGCCGTGAAACCATAGCACTCTGGTGACCCATCACGCCGTCTGCTTGCTCCTCTCCTCAGGTCCTCCTCCCAACCACCCAGCAATGAAACCCACAATCCTGAGCCCTGTCAGCGCCTGCCACTGCCAGCCATCAATCTGGCTAGGCTCCCACAGGAGAAGAAGGGCTTGGGACATTCCTAAGAGATAGAAACAACCCTAGGAAAGTGTAACAACAGCTCCCGGTCATTCGTACTCTGAGTGGAAGAAACTGCCAGATGAAGAACAGACCAATGCAGTTATTTGTTAAATATGCCTTGTTAACAAACGATTTTCCTTAAAGGGGGCAGCCACATCTAAGCATGGATGGGACTTTCAAATCAAGTCACTACAGGAAACAGTAAAGTACCCGAAACAAGCAGAGATGTATGACTAATGGTCAGTTATGTTCAAGCCCTGAGATGAGTAAAAGTTTACAAAAATTACTATGTATTAGAATGAGAATTACAAACAGAAGTTTCAGTTGCTCAACACCTGTTAAATTTTGAAACTGATGGTTTTAAAACTGCAAATTACTTTAAACACATAATATGGGCAACAGCAGAATTTGGGGTCTTTTTATTATGTTCCATTTTTACTACTAAAATAACTTCTTTAAAAAGCCAACTTTTTCTAGAACCCAAATACTGTACTTTCACACCTGTTGGTGTCAGGCACACCATTATGCTATCCTCCTCTTCAAACTTAAGGGCTCTGCAGTTTACAACTATCCAGTTAGGATACAGTCATCGTAAGACTATTTTCACAGAGTTTTACTTTGATTGAAGTCATTTCTTATTCCAAAAGTGTGTCTTCTTGGTGGAGAACTAGTAATAACAGAGGTTACTTCTTCCATATACAGGACTACTCATACTTTTTGGAATATTATTGAAAAGTACACAAGGAAAAGTGTTTCCACCTTTGCTCTTTTGTAACTATTATTTGATGAGCTCATCATCTAAACAAATTACCCAAGTAATACTTCAGTACTAAGAAACATAAAAGTAAAATACAAGGGAAAGTTAAGGTAGGTTTTGAACACAGACATCTTCACAATGGAGTGTCTGATTGAGCAGCCATGGGCTATTTATAAATATCAATTCCTCTAATACTCATAACCCTATTAAGTTCCATGACTGAGCATATCTAATCTCAAAGTCCAAAATGTGAAACACTCTGGGCACTGAAATATGCCACAGTGGGAAGTCCACACCTGACGGGCCAGGTTATACTTACAATGCAGGTACACCAAAACATACTGTATAAAAGTATCTTTGCGCTGTATGTACAGTGTGAGGTATGTGTAAGACATAAATAGTTTTGTGTTTAAATTGCATCCCATCATCAAGATATCTCATTTGTGTATATGCAAGTAGCCAAAACACAAAACAAAACCCAGTAAACCCTGAAATCTCAAACACTGTAGTTTCAAGCATTTCAGACAAAGGATACTCAGCTGTGTTATTATCCTAATTTACAGATGAGAAAAACTGACACAAAGAGGTTGATGTCTGGTAATATCAGAATTCAAACCACAGCCACTGCCTCCCAATTATCTATTCTTAGCTACATTATCACTAACTAAAAGCATTTTCCACAAGCATTTGCTTTTCAATCTTTTAAAAAAACTTGTCCCAAAGCATTAAAAATGAGCACCAGTACTCTTTGGGTGTGTGCAGGGTGGGGAGCAAACCAGCACCTTCCCCCAGCCTTTGTAATTTTTTATCTTGAGACAAGGTCTTGCTAAACAGCCCAGGCTTGCACTTTTGATCCTCCTGCCCTGGCTTCCCAGAGTGCAGGGATTACAGGTATCTGTCACTGTGCCTGGTACCACCAACATTCGAGCAAGCAGATTTATTGAAAATAATTCCGTGTAACACTTAATAGCTGCCTGATAAACAGCAATCACCATGGCGCACATCAAGGCAGTCGGCAATTCAGAAGCCGGGTCCTTCTACCACCAGGAAGCCCCGGGCAGGTCTATTCTATCCTGGAAACACGCAAGATTATTTCTGCTAGACTCTATTTCTGATCAATGGTCAATTTAGATACTTACATCTGAATAATGTTTTATTTACAGAGTCAATTGTTTTAAAGGTCCACTCCATTTGCTAAAATTTAAGAAAATTAAGTAGGGTCAGCGACTCTCAAGTGAAATGTTTTAGATTCTCTTATTTAGGAACTGAATGAGAATTCAATATGCCCACATTATACCCGATCATACATTCATCCTGTTTTCTAACAGAGTACTGTCTTCAGAAGGATGCCCCACACAGTAATGCCTCACGTATGTACACCCCAGTAGTATATTATATAAATCACATTTTCTTCCTTCTAGAGTGTGTATTTTCAGGGGAAAATGCCCATTTTAGTATTTACCTCAGATGATGCACAACATTGCAAAGACATTCGAAGCTAACTGAAAATCTGACATGGAATTCCTAACATGCACCAACTAGTCCAGTTCAGGGGCAAACTTTTCTACACCATTGCTATGCAGTTTTCACCTCAGTGGAACTTGCTACATGTAGCAGAGGTGGAAATGTTTTTCTGCCACAGAAAATTAAGGCAGCTTTCTGTGGCAGGGTCTTCATTACTTTGATTCTGCTAAGCCACTAAGAAACCCTTCCAAGCTAACACAGTGCAGCAAAACACAAGTCAGACAGTCGGTAAACCCTGAGACAAGTAATGGCAACCTCATGAACTACAGTTTGCAGGCAAAACTTGAGAGATGCTTATACTTTACAACCTGTTAGCTTGGCGGGAAACAATACTACTACATCTGATGGATGAGGAAAAAAGAGCAAGTCTTTTAGGAAAAAATCCCAGTCTCAACCATAGAAAAGAGATGTGAAGAGTGAGTGGCCATCAGCATGAACTACAGCCGACACCAGGAGCTGGGCCCTGCTGTGTCAGAGACGCCAGGTCCCTGCTCTCTCAGCAGCCTGGGCTGGGTCTGGCTCCCTTCCGCTGCAATCAGGCGGGGAACTGCCCGCACCCCTCCATCTCACCTGCACACTTCCAACTCCAGAGCTCCATATTCAGCTCAAGCAAGCGGCACACCAGAAGGAAATGGAGTACGGCACAGAGAGGCAGGTAGAAAGTTCTAATTTTAGTTAGCATTTTTTTGGGGGGCCAGGAGATAAAAGATCCGTAGATAATTAGCTTGAAAAGGTTGGTGTATTTCTTTAAAAAAATCAGTTGTATTTACAGCAAGTTTCTATTTTACAAAATTCAACTGTGAAAAAAATGGCTTAGTTCTCTGGCACATACATAGAAAGGGGTTAATATTTTTTTTTTTTGTTTTTGAGAATAGGGTCTTGCTATATGTAGGTCAGGCTGGCAATCCTCTTGCCTCAGCCTCCCAGGTGTTGGAATTACAGGTAGGCACTACAAAACCTACTATTTTTTTTCAAACGGAAACCAGTTGTTGTTGGAACTAAGAAGAGACCAAAATTGTTTAATACTGTAGTAGCTTCTAGACTAATCTAACATATCTGGTTTTCAGCTGCCACGGAGGAAGGGAAGAATGAAAAGATATCCATTGTAAGGCACTACAAAACAGCCCACAAATCCGTGGACAACAAATTCAGTGAACTATTTTGCTCAGAAGCTGATACAGTTAGTTCTTAACGTAGATCAATTTTTCCCATCTGGGTAAAACAAAGTTACCACTTCATTCCGCCAAGGTACACACACAGAACAGGAACAGGAATGGCGCCTGGCTGTGGGGACTGGACTCCTCTTGTGCCCCAGGTTTGACCCATCTCCTGCACTGAACCCATGACTGACTTAGTTTCTACTGCTATCCTCAAGGAAGCCTGACACCCTGACCTCCCACCAGTTAGGGTCTGTAGCAAATACAGACGGCGTGAGAGCGTGACCATCATCCCAGCACTCTCGAGGCTGAAGCAGGAGGACTCTTTTGAGTTTGGGGTCAGTCTGGGCTACAAAGTGAATTCCATGCCCATCTAAACTGCACAGCAAGACCCTGTCTAAATAAACCCCTAAATCACAAAGAGATCAATATCTAATTCGTCTCTCTCTTCTCCTTTCTCCTGATGTGTGCAGGCTCGTGTGTGTGTGTGTGTGTGTGTGTGTGTGTGTCTGTGTGTGTCTGTGTGGTGCAGGAGATTGAACCTTTGCACTGAGCTTGTTCCCTACTCTTTTTTTCATTTTTATCTTGAGGTAGGGTCTTGTTGAGTTGCTCAGGCTGGACTCAAACTTCAGGTCTTCCTCCCTCAACCTTCTAGAGCTTACAGGTAAAAAATCAGTTCTTGAAAACTTCTTTAACCTAGTCACTGATAAAATGCTAGACTTATGCCATTTATTCATGGAGTTTTACCAGGAAAAAAATGATCCTATCTGAACCATGTGAGAAGAGGTAGGGACTGAGGGAGCTGATTCTAAATTCTAGTAAGTCATTTAATTCAAATTCTTCAAACCGTACAGGTATTTGATGCTCATGAACTCAGATGCTGTTTCTATTGTTATTTTCAATTCAAAGCCAAATACAGCCATGGTAGAGCATGTCTGTCTTCCCAGTGCTCGAAGGGCTGAGGCAGGAGGACTGCTACAAGTTTGAGGCCAGCCTGCGTTGCACAAAGTTGAAGGCCAGTATGCACTACAAATTGAGATGTTATCTCAAAAAACCACCCACACACAAACCCCAAATAAAACTACAGTAACAAACCTTGTACATGGAACAGAACTGTTTTAGGAAGGAATTGCGGAATATCCAAATTTAGATTTGATTAAAACTGAAGTTGGTGACTGGAGGTGATGCTTTCACCATGCAAAGAATGACAACTTCTTTCTGTTTTCCTGTTTTTTCTTCTGTGAAGCTTGAGGAGGTATATCCTGCAAACAATGACACACAGCACTAAAGGACTTTAAACTAGGTAATAAAAATACTCCCATGTACCAAGCAGTACAATCTTACACACAATTCCATCAAAAGTGACAGGTTATTCATTAAAAATGAGATTATCTAAGGGCAAAATTTGTGTACTACAGTCTTAAAAACAGAATTCCTACTATTAACATAATTTATTACATAGGTTGATAACCTCCAAGCCAACAGACTGCACGCCAAACACTGCCAATGAATGCAGATCCCGCCAAGTCACAGGGTCACCAGAGGCCACCATCACAATAGATGTCTCTACTGAACTGAAACAGACAAGCCTTAAGGAAGGGAAACGGTTTCCGTCAGAACAAAGGTCAGACCGGTAGTAGCTATCTGTATCTGATTTTCACTCTTTTCACATGCTTGGAGATTTCTGACTCAACTAGTACTGAAAAATTTAACAATGCTTTTTAAAATTAAAAAAAATAGCACGTTTTGACAATGCAAAGCTTGGAAAGTTTTCACAGCTGAGTGTCTGTAAGGAAGGGGTGACTTCACAGCGGCGTCTAGGAAATCGGCGTGGGGCACCACCTGGTCAGCGAGCAACCTGAACCCATTATTAGCAAAGCTGGGCAGAACCATAACAAAGCAGCAGACTGCTTTACAGATATTCTTAGAATTAACTAAAACAAAACACATCAAATGTTCTCTGCAACACACACACACACACACACACACACACACACACCCAAGTCTATGAAGTCTAATGTGCTCATTACAGGATTATTTTTGAGTTCATATTCATATGCACAATACTTTAAACAGATATAATGGCTAGAAAAGATACCTATCATTAGTTCTTAATCATATTTAAAGCTCAGTTATCAAAACATCCAATAATTAAGAATAAGCTTGTCCTGAAGGCAACTCTTCTAATATTGTCATGCAACAGTTTTCAGCGTCTAAATCAGTCTCTTGACTTTCCTCTCTACAAGGATAGGGAAAGTGCAGGGCCAAAGAGGTTGTCATGATATGTTCTGAATAAAAAGAGGGTACATTCCTAGGCCTGGGGACAGGAGAAGGCTCTACCAGCTCTGCTTAAAGGACAAAAAGAACCTGATGTCCTCTAAGCGCCCCCTTTTCGGTGGTCCTGGGGATTGAATCCAGGATCTTCACACTGAACCACATCTCTAGCCCTGGTTTTTGAGGCAGGGTCTCACTAAGTTGCCCAAGGGCTGCTCTGATTTGCAGTTACATGAACTTGTGTCTCACTTTCCTGAGAAAAAAGTGGGGAAAAATTTTTTCTGAGACAGGGTCTCACTATGTAGTTTAGGTTGGTCTTGAACTCACAGTGATCCTTCTGCCTCATCCTCCTGAGTGTCGGAATTACAGGTGTGCATTACCACACCCAGCTAAGAGTGGAAAATTTTGCAGCAGAATGTCAAAGACTTGCTGGGCATGATGGCACATGTCTGTAACCTCAGCAGTCGGAGACTGGAAGAAGGACTGCGGTGAGTCAAGACCATCCTGAACTACACAGCGAGAATCTATCTCAAAAAACAAAACAAAACAAAAAACAGGGCCAGGGATTTAGCTCAGCAGCATAAGTGCCTACCTTGAGTTCAAGTTCAAATAAAAACCCAAAACCAACATAAAACGTGTGCTTTTGAACATTAAGGGGGAGGTTATCTTAGCTTCAACTTCATGGAAAACAAAACCAGAAACAATAGATAGCAATTCATGAGGCAAGGTTTGAATGCAAAACCACTGGATAAAACTGCAAAAAAGAATCAACTTGAAGTTTTAAAAAGTACAAAAGGATCCTTAACTATGAACCATAAGATCTGAACCCACAGGAGAGATGAACTGGGACCAGCATGGCTGAGCAGCCCTGGCGATCCTCCTGGACACACACTCTGTCCTTCAGGAGAGGACCGCAAGGCCAGAGGAGGCATCTGACTGTGGTCAACTGCACTGGACCTCCAGCAGGACTGTAAGAAAGCAGTGTGACCAGCGTACGACTGGAAAATTAAAACACGTGGAAAATTGCACTGAGTCAAAAAACGAAAGACCTAGAAAACCAAGGTAAAATGGAAAAGGTTTGGGTATGACTGAGTTAGAAATGAGAGACATGATACACCCTCCGTGTAGAAAAGAGAGGCAGCTTCCTAGAGACACTATTCTACGGAATGAAGTGTTACTCAGCTGAATTGAATGTAAAGCAAATTAAGATATTTAAACTGAGTCAGGCATGATGGCAGGTGCCTGCACTTGGGAGGCTGAAGCAGAAAGATCATGTGAGTCCAGGAGTCCAAGGCTAGTCTGGGCAACACCTAAACATCCCCCCACCAACACACACTTGCAATAGAACTCTAAATGGCTGTAATTTTGTTCTTTAACCCAGCTCCAGCTTTTCCTGGCTTGTGGTAGCCTGACTCCATTCTCACAGGTCCTTCTTGTGTCTCTCCTTTCTTAAATCTCCTCCTTTAGAAGGATGCCTGTCAAACAGACTTAAGACCCACTCCAAACCCTGAAAGATGTCATTCCAAAATCTGGGATCTTAATTATACCTGCAAAGACCTAAATAAAGTCACAGTCACAGGCACCTGGGATCATGGTGCACCTTTGGGGCGGGCACTCTGCGTTCGTTCAGCTGCCGGGTCACGAAGAGCTGAGGACACAGCTGGTGGCAGGCTGCTTGCCTAGCATGTGCGGCCCGAAGGCGGCCATTCCCCCACAGCACACCGCCTTCCCCTGGGCCCTGCCCCTGGGGAGAGTGCACCTGGCTCTTTTGCCACCCTCTGCTGTGAAACAAAGCCTTCTGGTTTTTCACTTGGAGATCTGTAAATCAGGATGGTAAAATCTCTTAGTTGTCACTAAGTGCTAGATATATAAACAATTTCAGCTTTTCAGTCACGGAAAGAGATCTCTTTGTTCAGCTGCACTAAGCTCACAATGTAAGAAATTCTGTATGACTGGAATTAGCTAAGGCAACCAGTGTGGGTGTTCATGGGTTACCATCTGCATAACACTTAAGAGAAGGCAAGTTCTCTGTTTAATTATTTGTTGGTTTTGGTATCTGAATTCCATGAAACTGATGGAATTCCTTCCTAGAAAAGTGAGCCCTCCTCTCCTTCCCTTAGGTGCTCCTGCCCCCAGGGCCCTCACACAGGACGGATGCACTGCCCTGGGAGGCCTTCTCTGTCCTGGCTGCGCATTCCTAATGTCATTCCTAACGTAGGGTGCACAGGTTTCCAAGCGGCTGATCAAATCAAGTGAATGATCTGAAACCATCCTGACCATCCTGTTTAGCTCCTCTGCCTCACACACAATTCTTTTTATTTCACGGTGGAACTGTCAGGACAAAAAAGAGCTTTACAAGTTAGGCGGCTTCTCTGAGCCACCTAGGCTGAAGGTGGGCCCACCTCCCGCTCCCCTCCCTCAGCCCAGGTTACTGGAGGGCGCAGCAGCAGACGGGGCTCCGGGGGGCAGTTTCCCTTCCGCTGGAGGGATGAAGCCAGCTGTGCAGCTATCAATTGTCTCACTGTATTTTCTCCCTCCCTCCCTTCACAATAAAAGGCCCTCGTACAACTGATGTGCTTGGGAGACCGGACCCCACTGCAAAAAGCTACTGAAAAGGTGGCAAGCTCCCAGCACGGAAAGCAAGGAAGAGAGTGAAGCAATCGAGTGAGATGCCTTCTTCTGACACTGATGTACCACGCTACAGCCTCTACAGGGCCGCGGCAAACCTGTACACACCGTCAATTACCAGATCCCAGGGCAGCGCCAAGTAGCTGCTGAGACCCCATGTGTGGGTCCTCGCAGGCTCCCCGTGAGATACAGATAATGCATAAGGACACAGACGTCAGGAGAAGTCCACTGTCCTGACTTCACGGCTGCCCACTGTCTTCTAGGCCAACGGGTGTGTGTGTGTGTGTGTGTGTGTGTGTCCTCCCTTCAACCCCTCTTCCCCTCATTTAGGAAACCTTTGTCTCCATTCCCCCACAGTTCCCTTTCCCATTTGAACATTTTATTTTCAGAGTATCTATTATAATTTTAGTCCTTGCACTTCCCTGTCTGACTTCTTTCAATTAAGAGTAGTGTCAAGGTGCATCCATTTACCTAGAAATGCCTCGAGTTGACCCTTCTTTATGGCTGAGTAGTACTCCACTATATTAAAAAAAACTACTTCCTTTATCCATGCATCGGTTGACGGGCATTTGGGCTGTTTTCAAGACCTAGTTACTACAAACTGCTGCTATAAACATGGGTGTGCATATATTACTATGGTACGATGCTTTTAATTCTTTCAGGAAAATATCAAGAAGGGGAGTAGCTGGGTCGATTTGAAACGCGAGTTTCAGGAATTTTTTGAGGAATCTCTACACTAATTTCCACAGGAAGGACCTAGAACAAGTTTAAATGATGAGCAATTTCTACAAGAAAAACACATTAGCATTATAAGACAGCTCGTTACTCACTTGGGCTTAAATGTAAAGCAGGCAGTGCGTGACCACATGGAAGAAAGGCCCTCATTGAAAGGGAGCACATGGCTGCCAATACTGCATCCCAATCTGCACGGCAGGGAGAGAGGCACGCCAAAGCTCTGAGAGCGGGAATCGGCCCAAACGAGAGCAGGACTGGCTCGATCTGCAGTGAGTGAAATGGGGCCCCTTTCATAGACTAGGAGGCTCCAAGAGAGGTCATTCTGGGAACGGGCAGACTAGCCGGAATGCAGCCCTGCAGTAACTTTAGTCGCATATTCCCCTCTCAAGCAGGAGTGGTGGGGAGCGCTTGGCCTGGTGACTCCGCAGACTAAGATCCAGTAGCTAGCCCAAATCAGGTCCCTGTGCCTGGTGGTGCACCCTAGCAGTGAAACATTCAGTAGGTTGACCTGGAGGGGCGGGCCCAGCAGAGGCTGCCCAGGTCTGTGTCTCCCAAGTACACTGCAGTGGGCGGGAACACTTAGCCAGCGGATTCAAACAAACTGCCACAGACAAAGAGAAAAAAA